ACGGTGAACCTCGGAAGTGACTTCACCACTGAGCTAAAAGGGTGTCTGGGTACCATAGTCTCGGGTTTTCTCCAGTCTCTTTCAGGCCAGTAAATCTGGTCTTTTTTGTTTGTGTGTTAGAATTTTGTTCTACATCCTTCTCCAGCTCTGTCCAGAACCCTGTGTTGTGATCCCGGACAGAGCAGTCAGTGGTGGTAGCTGGCACCATCTAGCTGTACTGGACTCATGAATTGCTGTTTTTGAACAAGTACATTCTGCGGTCTTACTGGCTGCAGCAGATGGTCCCCACCAGTGGTAGGGAAGAGATAGGTTTCCATCTGCAAACACATTTCCTCCTCTCCCCACCTGAGCAAAGACCCAGTGGTTTAAGGTACCCAAGACACATCAAAGAAGGTGAAATGTGTGGTGCACAAGGCCCAGCCATGGCTAGGAGAGGCAGCCTGGCATAAAGGAAAACCTGCAGGCTTGGGAGCTCTGCCACTCATTCTTTGTGTGACCTTGGGCAATTCATTTAATTTTTCCTTAAGCCTCAGTTGCCCCATTTGTAAACTGGTGTTAAGAATGCTTGCCCTGCCTCCTTTTGAGGGCTCAAAGAAAGGATGTTAAAGCACTTTGCAATCTAAAGTTTATCCAGACACAAAAGGAAATTTGTTATGTGCCCCAGGATGCCTGTCTATACACAGGCACACACACCACACAATGTATCACACCTGGCTATGTCTTCTCATAAAAGTGCTGCTAGAGAAAGCCGCCTACAACCCCCACCCAATCCCTGACCAGTCATTTCACCCTTCAAATAGTTTACCCTCAACTTCGTAAAAGTTTTTTACCTAATGTACTACTGACAGGCTTCTCCCAGATCTAATTGTAGAGATTTCCTATGAGCTGGATCTAAAGAAGGAGCCCTGATGGCGCGGTGGTTAAGCCCTCTGTTGCCAACCAAAAGGTCCGTGGTTCAAACCCACCAGCCAGTCTGTAGGAGAAAGATGTGGTGGTCTGCTCTGTAAAGATTTACAGCCTCAGAAACCCTATAGGGTAATTCTACCCTGTCCTGTAGGGTCGCTAGAAGTTGGAATCAACTCAACGGCAGTGAGTTTGGTTTGGTTTCGTTCTGGATTCCAAAGACATTTAACCTGAGCTCCTTGAGTTGCAATGGAAACTCTTGACCTCAGTATGGATGAAGAAAAGCTGGATGTCATTCCAGTGTATGGACACTGAGGCCCTCCCTCCCTTTTACTGGCCAGCTGGGGTAGGAGTCAGAATCGACTCGATGGCAACGGGTTTTGGTTTTGGGATAGGAGTAAGCTTGAAAAAGGGTTGAAGAGGGTCAGTCTTCGGCAGTTTTGCTGGACCTTGCTAGCAAATTTCCAGCCTGTTGAACTCCTGTGATCCCTGAGCAACATCGTTAGAAATTTCTAATGGAGGCGTGAAGGATGTGGGACTGGACTAGTAATCTGATGCCTGGAAAAGGACGATGGAAATAGCCCACTCTCTAAACAGTGAGACCTACAGATACATCCAGACAGATACAGCCAGCTTCTATTTCTCAGGTTTCTAACGTATTTGAAAAAGAGCCTGGGACCAGAACCTCACCCAGAGAGCACTGTGCTGTGAAGGCAGACATGAGAACCTGCCCCTCTTCGAGCGTTGAGTTGACATCATCACTGGCCCCAAGGCCAGTTTTATTAAACAGCCTATGGATCTCTGTGTTCAGAGTGAGTTAGTCACACCATCCTGACCTGCCCTTGTTAGACCTTACAGTCGTGCTCCTCCAGGAAGCCTCCTTGAGCACTGCCACCCCCTGACTTCCCCTTATCTGAAACCCACAGCACTTGGCTACACCAGACATCTCAGCCCCCAAGTTGTACTATTTGTTGTTGTTCTCTGAGCCCTGGTGGCACAACAGTTAAGAAGGCCGCTAACTGGAAGGCTGGTAGTTCAAACCCACCCAGCTGCTCTACAGGAGGAAAACTGAGTTCTGTTCCCATAAAGATTCCAAAACCAAACCCGTTGCTGTGGAGTCGATTCTGAACTCATAGCAACCCTACAGACAGGGTAGGACTGCCCCATAGGGTTTCCAAAGCTGTAATCTTCACGGAAGCAGACTGCTATATCTTTCATCGAGTGGCTGATGGGTTTGACACACCAACCTTTTGGTTAGCAGCTGAGCGCTTAACCACTGCGCCACCAGGGCTCCTTTTAGTAAAGATTACAGCCTAGAAAACTCTATGGGGCAGTTCTACTCCATCACATGAGGTCTCTATAAGTCAACAGTCACCTTGTAGGCACCTAACAACAACAACTCTGAGAGGCAGTAGACCATACTGGTTACCAGCCAGGCCTCTGGAAGCAGACTTCCTGGGCTGGATTCCTATTCTGCTTCTTAATAGCCGTGTGACCTTGGGCAAGTTACTTGTGCCTCAGTTTCGTCTTCTATAAATTTAGGGATAATAACTGCATCCACCTTTGTGGTGAGGATTAAATGAGTTAATATATTTCCAGGGCTTAAAACGATGCCTGTGGCATACTAAGGGCCACGTGCGCATTAGTTATTCTTATCCTGTATTCATCGCTTGACTTCACCAATTTGAGGGCCAAGGCTGTGCCTTACGCTTTTGTACCTTCCTTAGTGTGTAGATTGTACTAGATGTAAGGTGGAAGCAGAGAATGTGAGAGCTTGAAAAGACCTCAGAGATCAGAGCATCCAAGCTCCATTGACGGAGGGGAGAGGAGAGTGGGGAAGCCACTACTGGCCACAGGCCTCCAGAGAACAGAGAAATGTTTTCTGTGTGTCCCCAGGGGTACCTTTTTTTCTCTTCAGATCCAGGCTGAGGAAGAGGGCAAGTGTTCCTTGTCATATTCACTCAGAACACATTTATTGAGTGCTTGCTCTGTGCCTTCAAAGGAGTCAGGCAAACAGACACTTAAACAGGTGATTGCCACAGAGTGTGACACCTGTTGTGATTGAAGCAGTAGAGGGAGCACAGGGTGCTTGGGCACATCGAGCAAGGGGCATCCATTCAGTTAGGGTTACTTTTAGTTGTGCCTAACAGAAACCCCACTCCAGGGCTTAAGCATTAGGAGTTTATATTTTCCACATAACAGGAGTACCAGAGGTAGGCGAAACGGGATTGCTGTGGTGGTTCCATGATGCCTTCAGGAACCCAGAACCTTCTTTCTTCTCTGCCTTAGCTTTCATATTTATGTTTGCAATATGTGTGGTCCATTCCCAGACATTGCATCTGAGTTTCAGGTGGAAGGAAGGGAAGGACAAAGAAAAAAAAGGCAAATAT